GTCTGGTTAGCAGGCAAGTGTCTTAGCCACTATGCTACCAGACATAGGTTTTTATAATTCAAAGAATATTTTATTTATTTATTTTTATTGTGATTTGGGTGAAAATTTACAGAGCAAATTCACTTTCCATACAGCAGTTCACATACACTTTGTCTCATGACGTTGTAGTTCAAAGAATATTTTTACAAATGTTTTTTAGAGTACTTATAGCTTTGGTAGAATTTAATTAGAATATAAAGCAAACCAAACCCAAATCACTGCTGTTTAGTTGATTCCAAATCATAGCAACCCCTCCTTGGGTTTCCAAGGCAGTATCTCTATGGAAGTAGATAGCCCAGTCTTCTTTCTGAGGAGTGGCTGGTGGGCTTGAACTGCCTGCCTTCTGGTTAGCAGTCAAATGCCTTAGGTGCTATGCCACTAGAGCTCCCAATTATTTGTCATATACAAGTTGTGTTAGCTTATTAGATATTTACTATAGCTTGTTGTTTATTTCTATTTGGGTCTATATAGAAACTACATCAGGAGAGAACAGTATTATCAACTCGTAGAAACGCCTTTAAAAAAATAATGGAGAAGTTAAATACAGACTATGAGGCACTGAAAACACAATTGCAGGAAAATGAGACACATTCTCAGGTAAGAAGAAGAAAAAATAACTTCTGGAATTCATTTCTCCTTTTAGACTATCTGTTGTTGTTGTTGTTGTTTGCCGTCGAGTCGGCCCGACTCATAGCGACCCCTCCTTGGGTTTTCGAGGCAGTATCACTACGGAAGTAGGATTGCCCAACCTAGTTCTTTTAATTCGTATTTTCACCCCAAAACAATCCTTTTATATACTTTATATACCTTCTAGATTCTTCTGGTTTTGAAGACAGTGTCCACTCAGAATGAATTAACCACTGCTTTCTTGCTTTCTGCAAGCCTATAATGAAAGCCTAGTTATGTGCTAGGTACTGTTTTGGGCACAGCCATTATGATATTGTGGATACTAGCTTTAACATTTTTTATAGTAAAGTATTTCTAGTGCAGAAACTTTGAAAACCCATAAAAATCACAAAATAAACTGTAATAACTCACAACTCAGTTATTGCCATTTTGGTGTGGGTCCTTCTATTCTATGTCTATATGTTAATTTTAAAGTGCATAAATACATACACTTTTATTTTTACATTTTCAGAAATGGTATCATATATATTATTTGAAGCTTGCTTTTAATAATTTAACTGTGTAAGTACTACTTTGTCTTGTTCATAGATGTTTTCTAAAATATGATTGCTAATAGCTATATAATATTCTACTACATGAATATAGTATAATTTATTTAACAATTCCCTACAGTAGGATTTTTAGTTAGTTTTGGCTTGAAAACTGTTCAAATAATGCTATAAAGTGTAGTCATATCCTTGAACATCTTGATTCACATCTCTGATTATTTATACAGGATGCACACACACATGGCCACAGTCTCCTTTTCCTATCACTCATCGTGCTGGTAATTACCTAAACAATGGCTGAGGTTATTTTAGATTGTGAGTGCTGTGAGATACATCTGTCTTGTTCACTTTCTCCTCAGCACTGTGTAAGTGATTAACACATAGTAAGTGTTCAATAAATATTTGTTGGATGATTGAATGCAACATGCAATGTCATGTGCAAAATTATGATGTGAAAAAGATTGGTTATTCTCATATCTGTTAGTCTATTCAGCAATTTCCATTTATTCTGATTTATAAAGGTTAAATACATTAAAATTATATTATTTTTCTTTGAATAGTAATATGATGATGGTAGGAAAAAAATGCCACTTGATTTCTCACTACCTAGAAATAACCAATGTTGACTTTTTGATGTAATATCCTTGTAGACTTTTTCTCTTTGCAATTATAAATAAATATTAGATTGTTTATACGAAGAATGGAATCATACAATATAGCCTTTGAACATTTATTTTCTTAAATATTTTCAGCCTCTGCTTTTCTGATAACATCATTTTTATACCTTATATATAGTCTTCTGAAAGGAGTAGAATCTAATGAGTTTTGCCATACTACTAAAAGCTTGTAAGTTACTAATTTACATAATCCAAAGTACCAGTTAGTAATTCTATCTCTATCTCATACTAGACAAACTTAGATGTGGACTTGTAAGTGACAAGATAATCTTGGACTGTTTGGAGTATGGATGGGTGCTGGAGAAAAGAAGGAGGAGTGGGAGGTCATAGCCTTGAATAGTTCTTAGAAAGAAATAGTGATGTTTCTTATGGAATGTAACTGATCCTCCTCTTCCACTGAAGAGATGACTTAAGGAGGAAAACAACTGAACAAACACTGTTTCTTAGAGCTGGTCAGTGGCTATTTGCTTATTCCCACATTATGTACTAATCATATTTCTAACTCCACTGACAACAACAGATCATAACATAAGCCACAGTTTAAAACCCTTCTCTGTAATACTGGATCAAATGAAATCCCGGTGTCCCTATCTTTTCCAGCTATTTTCTTGGAAACTGGTTTTTCGCATCTGTAAGTAATTTTAGTTGATAGACTCTTTAAATATACATATTTTGTTGCTGGCTGCTGTTGAGTAAATTCTGACTCATAGCGACCCCATGCGACAAAGAACTGCCCCAGAGGGTTTTCTTGGCTGTAGTTTTTATGGAAGCAGATTGTCAGGTCTTTTCTTCCTTGGAGCCAGCCCCTGGGTGATTTTGAACTGCCAACCTTTGGCTGTAAGATTGTTCATGGAACACTTAAGAGGTCTGTTGCATTATCCAGCCATCTCTTTGTATGAAACAAAGAGGAAAAAGTCTGGTACTTGACTTTGCAAAGGACTGTAGAGACTTATTGCCAAAACAGTGCTGACTGCTTCCTTGAGTCTCTCTTAACTTCCTTGAGTCCCATCTGGAGAGCTAGCTCTGATTTAGTAGTGCTAACTCACAACAGATAGAGTTCACATAATTAATTTCAATTCACCCTAATACCTAGATTTATCTGTTTGGAGGAAACAATGGGCTGGATGCTACATCAAAACTGAACTTATGCCCTGAAAATAAATTTAACTTAAGAGTAGTAAGAAACATTATTGATGCCACGTCAATTATCAGATTTTTGAAAATGATCATTACTTCTTGCAAAGCCCATGATTAACATTGTTTTAGTGTTTCATTTTTCATACAGTCCTTTGCCTAGGGAAAAAAGTATGTGCATCTTAAAAAAGAAAGACCATAACCCAGAGTTACAAGGTTAATTAAATCAAAAAAACAATTTAATTCTATAACAGTAAAATTGTCTTCTGAGGAAGCAACCATCAATATAATATCCACATTAGTTTCCTGTTGATGCAGAAATTATTGTAACCATGCCAACTTTTCTACCAGCCCTTTTATAATCTTCACACTGCAGCTCTGTTCTTATCACAGCTTGTAGAATTAGACAGGAAATTTAGCCCTGGAAATAAGGAAGTTTCTCCTATATAACTGAACCTTTGATACTGTAAGAATATGTATATTTGTGGCATTACACTTCCAGATTTCAAGGAGAGATTCCTATCATGTCCCATTCTTCTTTTCAAGTTTCTTTCAGCAAAGAGAAAAATCATAAATTGTCTTTCAATTGGTGTGTTCATTGATAAATATTTTCTAGTTAAATATATAGTGGATTACTTGTTATAGAATTTAATATTATAGTTATTAATGTACTTATTGTTTAATTTTTCCTAAATTTCATTTTGTCTACCCTGGCTTTATCTTCATAAAATGCAAGGATTTGATAAGATTTAAATTGAGGTTTTTTTTCTTATCCTTTTAAAAGGATGCATAATTGTTTTGATTTGGGGCACTTGTTAACATTTTTCTTTTGTGCTTTTAGCTTACAAATTTGGAGAGGAAGTGGCAACACCATGAGCAAAATAACTTTGTGATGAAAGAATGTATCCTTTATAAAGCTATGAAAAGGAACTTAACTGAGTGATTTTTTTTCTAGCAGTTTCTTTAAAGACTTTTAAATTCTTTTAAACTACATTTAATACATACTTAACAAATGTCTAATGTGTACAAAACACAGGGCTAAACTATGTGGGGAATAAATGAAAAAGACTAAGTTTTTACTCTGTAAAAGTTAAGAGATATAATATGGATATACATAGCTATACACCAAAGTACCTGATAGAAAGCACACTTTGGGATATGCGAAAATGGTACAAAGTCATAATGTGGCATGATGATAAAGTACACAAATTTTGGTATCAGGTCTGATCTAGTTATCCGTGTTGATTCTACCATTTGCGAGCTATGGGTTTTGAGAAATTTATTTAATCAGCCTCAAATTTATCATCCCTAAAGTGTAGTTAATATTTCTTTCTCATGGACATGTTGGGAGAATTATATATAAAAATAGATATAATTATAACTGTATATGCCTGTATATACATGTATATAACTACATAATTATATGTACTCAGTGGCACCTAACAACAACAATATATTTTGTTTATAATGCTGTAGCTTGGATAGCTGGGCAGCAAAGGTAGATAAACCTATTAGGGTCATGAAAAGTTTTACCTTCAAGCTCATCCATCTTTCAACTGACTGCTATCTGATTTTTATCAAGATCGTATTATGCCCCATCTCCTTTCTTACCTTATTGCTGTTAGGTGCCATCGGGTTGGCTTTCACTCGTAGAGTCACTATACAACAGAGCAAAACACTGCCTGGTCCTGTACCAGTCTCACAATCCTTGCAATACCTCAGCCCATCACTGCAGCCACTGTGTCAGTCCATCTCATTGAGGGCCTTCCCCTTTTTTGTTGACCCTGTACTTTACCGAGCATGATATCCTTCTCCAGGGAATCGTCCCTTCTGAGAACATGTCCAAAGTAGATGAGACAAAGTCTGTCCATTTTCACTTCTAAGGAGCATTCCAGCTGCACTTTTTCCAGGACAGGTTTATTAGTTATTTTGGTAGTCCTTGGTACTTTCAGTATTCTTCGCCAGCACCACAACTCAAAAGCATCAATTCTTCAGTCTTCCTTATTCGTTACCCAGCTCTCACATGCATATGAGGTGACTGAAAATACCGTGGCTTGCATTAGGCACACCTTAGTCTTCAAAGAGACATCCTTGCCCTTCATCACTTGAAAGAGGTCTTTTGCAGCAGATTTGCCCAGTGCAGTGTGTCTTGACTTCTGCTTCCATTGGTGTTCATTGTGGAACCAAGTAATATGAAATCTTTGACAACTTCAGTCCTTTCTCCATTTATGATGCTGCTGCTTATTGGCCCAGTTGTGAGGATTTTCATTTTCTTTATGTTGAGATACTGTAATCCATACTGCAGACTATAGTCTTTGATCTTCATCAGTAAGTGCTTCAAGTCATTCTCATTTTTAGCAAGCAAAGTTTTGTTTTCTGGATATTGCAGATTGTTAATGAGTCTTCTTTCAATCCTGATTCCATGCTCTTTTTCATATAATCCAGCTTCTCAGATTATTTGCTCAGCATACAGATTGAATAAGTATGGTGAAAGGATACAACCTTTAGGCCCTCCCTTCCTGACTGTAAACCATGCAGTGTCCCCTTGTTCTGTTTGAATGACAGCCTCCTGGTCTATGTACAGGTCCTGATGAACACAATCAAGTGTTCTGGAATTCCCATTCTTCTTAATGTTACCCATAATTTGTTATGATCCACACAATCAAATGCTTTTGCATAGTCAATAAAACACAAGTAAACATCTTTCTGATACTCTTTTTTTGAGCCAAGATCCATCTGACATCAGCAATGATATCCCTCATTTCACATCTTCTTCTGAATACAGCTTGCATTTCTGGAAGTTCTCTGTCAATGTACTGATGCAACTGTTTTTTAATTATCTTCAGCAAGATTTTACTTATGTGTGATATCAATGATATTGTTCAATAATTACCACATTCTGTGGGATCGCCTTTCTTTGGAATGGGTAAAAATATGGATCTCTTCTAGTCAGTTGGCCAGGTAGCTGTCTTCTAAGTTTCTTAACATATATGAATGAGTGCCTCGAGCATGGCATTTATTTGTTGAAACATCTCAATGAGTAGTCTGTCAGTTCCTAGAGCCTTGTTCTTCAACAATTCCTTCCATGCCTCTTCAAATTCTTCCTTCAATACCATTGGTTCTTTTTTTTTTTTTAATTTTATTTTGATTTGGGTGAAGATTTACAGAGTAAATTCACTTTTCATACAGCAGTTCACATATACTTTGTCTCACGTCATTGACCAAAATTTACA